TCCATCACTGAATCCTATCCGGTTTACACCGACCTTGTCGGTACTGTTGGACGAGATTCGCCAACTCCTTGCTAAAGGAGCTGTTCGTCGTTTGTCGTTATCGGAAGGACTTCACTGATTCTATTCCAGATACTTTACGGTCCCGAAAGGAGATGGGGGTCTCCAACCGATATTGGACTTGAGAGCTCTCAATAGATTCATAACACCAAAGAAATTTTGGATGACTACTCTCCAAAATATCCTTCCGTTGCTGGGGAGAGGGGATTGGTTCATGTCACTGGATTTGAAGGATGCCTATTTTCATATTTCAATACATCCACATCATAGGCGCTTCGTTCGTTTTGCGGTAGCTTCTGAAATCTACGAATTCAAGGTGTTACCATTTGGATTAGCCACTGCACCAAGAGTTTTTACGAAGTGTATGGCTCCTGTCTGCGCACACCTTCGACTACGTGGAATTCGGATATACCCGTATCTTGATGATTGGTTGTTGGTTTCCGAGACTAAAGAAGGACTTTCTTCTGCTGTTGATACTACTTGTGCTCTATTACAAGACCTTGGACTCTGCATTAATCAACAGAAGTCTTCTCTTCTCCCTACACAGATGATCAACTTTATCGGAGCCCGGCTGGATTCTACGGTGACAAGAGCCTTTCTTCCTCAAGACAGACAACATGCTATCGCTCGGCGCATCTCTCGGATTTGACGAGAAGGGACTGTTCCTGCCCGATCTGTTCAAAGCCTGTTGGGACACATGGCGGCATCCGACTACGTCCTCTTCAGTTCTTCTTCAACGGAATGTTCCGACCACAGAGAGATCCACCTACCAAATGGATTCAGCTCCTGTCCTCCGTTCTACAGTCCCTATTATGGTGGTCAGAACCAGCCAATTTAAATGTTGGCATCCCGTTTTGACTTCGGTACCCTACAGAGACTCTTGGTACCGACGTGTCTCTTCTGGGATGGGGAGCCATTTGCTCCGACCTCCGCACCCAGGGGGTTTGGAGTCACCAGGATTCCAGGAACCACATCAACTTCCTGGAACTTCTTGCTGTTTTCAAAGCCCTGCAGTCATTCGAGGATGTACTTCTTCACCAGGTTGTCCAGGTAACTTCAGACAACATAGCTATGGTCTTTTATTTGAACAAACAAGGGGGAACTTGGTCCCTGAAACTAGCCCGCCTGTCGATGCAAATTTGGGAGTGGTGCATACCGAGAGGTATCACTCTTCTAGCAGTACATCTTGCAGGCACGGACAATGTAGAAGCAGATCTCTTGAGCAGACATATGTCGCGGTCACACGAATGGGAACTGGACCGTCGGATTCACGACAGACTGTTTCACCTCTGGGGTCCCCCAGACAGAGACCTGTTTGCCACCCAACAGAACAGGGTGTGTGTGAACTATTGCTCCAGAGCGGGGATAGGACAGGGGTCGTCCGGGGACACTCTCATGATTCCCTGGAACAACATGACCTTTTACACTTTCCCACCGATTCCCCTCATCATGAGAGTGTTGGTGAAGATTATTCACAAAGGGGCCACAGGGTTACTGAAAGCTCCCTGGTGGCCATGCCAACCATGGCTCTCAACTCTCCTTCATCTCTCTCTGGAGGATTTTCTTCAACTCCCTCTTCTTCCTTATCTCATTACCAAGAGGGAAGGCACAATCCGACACCCAGACCTGTTGTCGCTGAAACTAACTGCCTGGCGAATCCGATAACTGTACGTCGACGCCACCTGCAATCCCTACTACCTCTGCCTCACAAACCTTACATCCAGATCTGCAATATATTCTCGACTCTGCATTAAGGCCACCCACTAGAAAGTCGTATGCAGCGAAATGGCGTAGATTCTCTAGCTTTGCCGAATCTCACTCGTTTCCAGTGTCATCAGCGTCAGTACAGTAGATTCTTCAATTCCTTTTTGAATTGCACCAGTCTGGACTTAAACCTTTTTCCATAAAAGTATATACAGCAGCAATTTCTTATTACCGTGGGGCTGTACAAGGTTTCTCTGTTTTTCCTCAACCTTTGATTAAAGGATTTTTGAGAGAACTTGGTAATCTCCATCCAACAATCAGGCCACTATGCCCACTTGGAGTCTTTCAGTAGTTTTACAGGCACTGACACGGCCCCCTTTCAAGCCCATGGCGACAATTGATCTACACCTTGTCTCCTGGAAGACTGCTTTCCTCATAGCAGTTACTTCAGCCTGTAGATCTTCTGAACTGTGTGCCCTTAGGGTAGACCCCCCCTTTTCTGAATTTTCATAAGGAAAAGGTAGTTCTACGGCTAGACCCGTCCTTTCTTCCTAAGGTCGCTACTTCATTCCACATGGATCAAGAGATTGTTTTACCTGCATTCTTTCCGGCTCCTTAGAATCCGATGGAGAGGTCCCTGCATATGCTGGATGTTTGTTGTTGCCTAGCCTTTTTTAGGTCCAGGACTGAGTCTGTTCGACACTCTAACAGATTTTTGTTAAATACTCGGAGCATAACCGGGGCTATCCGGTCACTTCCCAACGACTTTCTAAATAGATAGTAAATACAATTGCTCTGTCTTACCAGTTGGCTAAACTGGACTTACCATCTACTCCAAGAGGTCACTCTACCAGGGCTGTTGCTGCTTCCTCAGCCTTTGCATCGGGAGTCCCGATAGAAGACGTCTGCAGAGCTGCCACTTGGGCTACCCCGTGTACCTTTGCCAGACAGTATAGACTAGATGTTCATGCCAGACGAGATTGCTCTTTTGGCAGGGCTGTTCTTTCTTCTATTCTTCGTTGACGATACCTCCCTCCTCCAGTTCGGGTAAGCTTGTTATTCTACCCATATGTGTGATGCACAGAGGCCACGAAGAAGAAGAGCAGATTGCTTACCTGTAACTGATGTTCTTTGAGTGGCCATCTGTGCAGTCACACAACCCACCCACCGATCCTGCTTGGTGTCATGGGTGGTCTGACTTTCTTCTCTTCGATGCTAGGATCTCTTTAGCTATTTGTCGTACCACTGAAGTTTTAGTTTTTTCCATACTGACAATAACTTTATTAAGGGAGTGAACGTCTTGTCTTTCAAAGACTGGAAAATGGCAGATACTCGGCTCCTTAAATAATACTAGGAGGGAGGGGGGAGCGGAGCTTCCCGCCAAAACCATTAGCTGTTAATCTTCCAGCCAAAGGCACTGCACAGGTGCAGAACCCATATGTGTGACTGCACAGATGGCCACTCGAAGAACATCAGTTACAGGTAAGCAACCTGCTCTTGTCCAAATGGATGGTTGAAAATATCAAGCTTTCTTACCAACTCACCATCTTAAACTTGCCAATCCTTCCGAAAGGCCACTTGACCAGAGCTGTGGCTATTTTGTCAGGCCTTCATGCTGGCATACGTCTATAAGACTTGTGCAAAACTGCACCATGGTCTACCTCATGTACCTTTCTTAAAATCTACCACCTTGATGTAAAGGCTAGCAGAGACTGCTCTTTTGGCTGTGCCATCTTCTTAGCTGTCTTTCAATAATGACACAGTCCCGCCTTCAGGGTGGGTAAGCTTGCTAATCACCCATATGTGTGATGCATAGAGACCATGACGAAGAAAGGCTGGATGCTTACCTCTAACTGTTGTTCTTCGAGTGGTCATCTGTGCATTCACACAACCCACTCACTGGCCCCACATCAGTGTTGGTGAATGGATTCATACAATCTAAACTGTTTTCTGATGTGTTGACACCAGTTGGGTTGAACAGTCGGTCTCCAGCTGGACTGCCGATAGGGCGGAGACTTCGCCTATTTATACTATGGGAAAGGGGTGCCGAGTTCCTGCCAAAAATGTTACTAGCTGAGAGAATTTCCCCAAATGCAGGCACTTTGCAAGTGCAGCACCCATATGTGTGAATGCACACATGACCACTTGAAGAATGACAGTTACAGGTAAGCAACCTGCTTTTTTTGACTTTTCATTTGATTATTTGTTTTATGCTTGTTAATTCATCTTAAGTTTTATTCTATGATGGTGAGCATCATCCCTTTGGTTTTAAGATGCTTGCAGTTTTTATTCATGTTCCAGAACCCATGGAAATTGTAAGTTAAGGTAAATCCTTTAACATTTGCACCATATAATCATTAAAACCTTCATCCAGTATCTCATATTGTGTACTCTTACTTTTGCCTTGGGCTTTCAGCTCATCATTGGACTTTCCAGGATATCCATCCTGTTCATATTCTTTACACTCTTGCTACTTCTTGTGTGGTGCTTGAAAGATGACCATTACTGCTATTGCTACGATTACTGCTACTTGTTAAATGAACTTTTAATAGCAAAGCTAAACTAAAACTTCCTCAGGCACTCAGCAGGCAGCAGCATTGCCAACCCCAAGGGAGAAAGGCCTGAATAATTCTCTAGGGATTTTTCTGAAAGCTGAAGTTGCAGGGATGGAATGGGAATAAGATTCTGTAAACTAAAGCACACACCCTGCTCTGTCCTCCTGCTCACCTTCTCTTTACTAAAGCCTGCTCCCTGAGAGGTGTCTCTGAGATTCACCAACCCTGCAAAAGAGGAAAAAAATAGCTGTCTCTTTGAATTTGTAGTGCCTATTATTCTGAAAGTAGTGAAAGAGTGCCCTCTACTGATTTTGTTCATCAGGGAGTTGCTTGATGACGTTTTTGTTGTTTATTACATTATGAAAAGAGAATTAGTATGTTTCCTGTGTAGCTTTAAATTCTAATATGGTTGTCTGGGATACATTTGCAAAGATTAGGGTGCTGAGTGATTGTTGCAGGATTCATTTTGTAAATAAGTGCAGAACCAAAATGGATGAAAATGAGGAAAGAAGAACAGTGATTTATTATATAAGGCAATTTATGCCCTACTTTCATTTGTAGCTAATTTGTTTTACCTTTCTGAAATCTAATGGGCCCATAACATGTTTTCAATTTTTTAAAAATAGCTACTTAAATACTTGAAGGAATACTTATTCAGAGTCTCTTTCATTTTGTATATTTCAGAGAATTGTTATCAAGTGATGCTATGAAAGACTACAACAGAGCCCGGGTTTACTTGGATGAGAACTTCAAGTCGCAGGAACATTTTACAGTAAATATCTTTATTCAATTTCATTCTCAGTTCACATTGGTACAACATTACGTGTTCATCATCACATGGGGCTTCTTCTGAGAGGCATTGATGGTAGTGACGATTACATGCTTAGGCTGCAATTGTATGTGCACTTACTGGAGAGTAAGGTGCTCTGAATGTAAGAAGGAGGTCTAAGCAGTGCATCAGGGTACTGCAAATAAAGATTCATGCATTCCTTTATAGTTCAGGTTGACACTTGAAATCATGTGCTCACTGCTTAATGAAGGAAGCTTTTTGTACTATCAGGCATTATGGTAGTGCTTTATGTATATGCTCTCTTTCTTGCCTTAAAGGGTGGAGGGATGCCTGTTAGCAGTTGCCAATGTTAGTGTTGCCATCTTGGCATCAGTGTGATAGGGCCAGAGGTTGGTTGTTCCTTCCTTCAGGCAAGCTTACATTCCTGCAAAGTTGCAGAAAGTTCAGTTATGGAAAGGTAAGTTAATTGCATGAGGCAGTGATGATGCATTTTTGCTTTCAATAGGCAAGTTATGTTTAAATAGAGCAATATCATTAATAAGTAGCACTTGAATAGAATCCACACTTAAACAATACAAGATATTTATGAAAATATGAGACTGCTGTTTAGCATTATAATCTTCCTGAGGTGGCTTGAATGTGAGTACAGTATCTATATACTATAAAACAATCTATTGAAACAGCAGTATAATTTTGTTTGTTTGTTTGTTTAGGCTATTTCTAGGCCATCCATCACTTTTGTCTCTAGACGGCTTACAATAAAAAGTAGTAGCAGCATAATTGAACACCATGCTGTAAAACCAATAGCACGAACAGTCTAAATTAGTTCCTAAGCACTTTAAGAAAGGACATTTAAAATAAATGGTTCCTTTAAACCCATTTCAAAGCCTAAATTCATATCTCCAACATTTATTAGGTGGGTAGAATATAAGTGTTCTCAGTTACTTGACTATTGTACATACCAAAATCCCAGTTGTTATAATTCTTCAATTTAACAGAGTGTTTCACTAGTGGATTGAAACCCCATCTTAATGAGATTTAACAAATACATGGGGGGGGGGACTCCCAAAGTTAACCTGCTCTGTCCCCCAGTTGCCTACATGCTCTGGCCCAGTTAGGAGTGCCCTCCAGTGGGACAGCTTTACATGCATTCATCAGTAGATGCAATAAAGCCCTTCTAACAAGTATTGAGCTCTTGGACAGCATAAAATGGTGGTGGTCAGACTTGTGCAATGGAAGAACCACATATGGTAAACATCAGGTGTTTGAGAGCAGCAATACTTGAACAAATATTTATTTCTTGTTATTTATATCACCAAACAGATATTGCTACAATTATCAGGCTGGTTACCACTAGTAAAGTTCTTGTGAGTCTCCATCTTGGCTGTGAGTTGTTGAAAATGATACTTCATCAAGGCTGTACAAATTAGCTGTTAGGTGTTGATTTGTAAAGATTGCATGATGCTTCAACTTTATAAATATCATTACAGGGGATGGTGGTTCACAGCAGTATGCTGTGCAAAAAGTTGAGAACACTGATTTTCTTTTGTTCAAGATATTTTATTTCTAGAACTTACTTCCAAAACTTAATTGTAGGCTGGGATTTATGGATCATCTTTAGACCTAGATCCTCCTGTAATTCTATTAGTTACATTTCAACAGCAGATGCTTCTGTAAACAGAGGTTCAATAATTGGACAACCATCACTGATCACATCAACCATGAATATATTTACAAGAAAGGTGAAACAGGGCTTCAGCTTTTGCAGGTTCTCAAACCTGATCAGGAAATTATCAAGCTGTCCTTGTAGTTTATCTTGGTATTCTTTCAGTTTGTGGTATTTTATTTTAATATCAGGAAAAGTATTTGCTCTCCTTTTGAGACTTGGAAAGTAACTGAAGTTGTTTGAGAATATGTGTCTTTGAAAATTTGTTACTTTATTCTGAAAACTGAAAATTGTTTGAATAAGGTTAGAAACAATCTTACCATTCTCCTGGAGTGTCAAATTGAGAGTTTGTAGATGATTTACTGTATTAGTAAGGAACATTATGGCTTGCGCCTATTCATCATTTTTTATTTGAGGACAGACCTGACCTCTCCTCTCCTCTCCTCTCCTCTCCAAAAAAAGAAATTATATCTATCTCATAATGCAGCGGAAAGAATGCAGTGGGTCTGTCTTTAAGCGCCAGTTCTTCAGTAAACTTTTTGAACTGTTGGTGGGTCTCGCATTTGAGCATATCAAATTTACAATTTCAAGGAAAGGTTTTGTAACACCTTCATACACCTTCAAGTGCATTTTAAATGTCAGCACCATGAATTGTTTCTTTCAGTGGCACTAAATCCAACATAAGTTCTTTTACAATAAACACCCAAGGAAATGAATATCGCCAGTTGTGGGTTGTCTTGTATGTCTGTTCGCCAAGGGCTAAGCTGAATGCAAGGGAATTCTTTAAATCATTTTGCATTTTGCCTGCAACATCAGCACTGATCCAGGAGATATCTCTCTCTCTATAGTGTGTGGCATGATGCTGGTGTTTTTGCTATTAGTCACTGAAGTTTTGTTTTCTTTGGATCCAACACTGCAACAACTTCAGCTACATTGTTTTTAACAATTCTGCCATCAGAAAATGGGTACTTAGCAAGAACAATATTCCATGCTATAACAAAGCTAGCTTCAGTCATTCTGGCTTCCTTACTGAATGTTGTCAACAGTGCCTGCTGGTTTAGTGTTGATTTTAACGCACTTAACTTGTTTTTCTATAATTCTGATTTAGGTGGGTAATCAGTTGAAAAGGTTTTGTACTTTGTTTCATAGTGGCTTTTCAAGTTACAGGCTTTGTAATGACTGACTGACATATTGTAGATAAGACACAAAGTGTTACCTTCTTTAAAGGTGAATGCAAACTCTTCCTCCCACTCTGGCTTAAAAGTTCTGTCTTCATCTTCATTTCACAATTTGATGATACTATCCTCCTCCTTCATTGTGGCCTCTGTGCACCACACATCATGGGTGTTGCACCTGCACAGTGCCTATAGCCCAGGAAGATTGAAACAGCTTCAACGATTTTTGGCAGGAACTCCGTGCCCCTCCCCCCATAGTATAAGAAGGGCAGAGTGCCCGCCATTTCCCCAGTCTTTTTGTGACTGCTGTTTGCTGTGTCTTGAGCCTTTCGCCTGCTTCTTATAGCTTTGATGGCACAGCAAGCAGCCTTTCGCAAGTGCTCTCAGTGTGGAGCCAAAATGTCTCCCGCTTACCCCCATGACTTGTGCCTTCTCTACCTGGGAGAAGGGCACAGAACGGATAAATGCAGTCATTGCCAGTCTTTTACTAGACAGGCTCGCAAGAACCGCAGAAACCATCTGCGTAAGATGCTTTGGGAGCAGACCTTGTTCACCATGAAGGAGGTGGAAGCTGGTGCAGCGAGTTCATCTAAGCCCGCTTCTCCTCATGCTTCTGGAGGAGACACGAGGTCTACTGATGGAAAGTGCTCTTCTCATTCCCCTGCCCATAAGCAGAAGGGGAACCGTGTCAGGTCTAGTGAGTCCTTGGTTCCAAAGAGACTGAAAAAGGACAAGACCGGCAAGCCAGAGGACAGGCACAGAAAAACATCTAAGGTGCCTTGCACACTGTTTGTGTTGCCACCTCCTGCAACTTTGGTTGCCGTCCCGACTCCGGTAACTACCAAACCTGCGATCCAGTTGGTAATGCAGGTGGCCCCACCAGGCTGTCCACCCAGGGTCATAATCTTGGCACTGTCTACTCCGGAGCATCCAAAGCCGGTGGCTCGAGGATCTGTTTCAGATGGCAAGATCCCAAAGTCCACTGTGGGCACACACTGACCAACTGACCATCCAGTCTCCAGAAGGAGGTCCGACGGCTGCTCAATGTCCGTCTTCCTTTCCGCAACAGAGGGCCCCAGTTCAACCTTTTAATTACTGGGTCCTTTTGCCATATGGGGAATTCGATCCAGCACGTCCCTACCCATGGGATTATTATGCTCCATATGGGTACTACCCGAGACCGACAACATGTCCTTGCCGTCACATCTCACTTGGTTTTGAGAGATGGACCATCTACATCTGTGGCTACCCTTTCCAGACCTCCACTTTCTCCAGCTGAGTCCTCCTTGAGTCCTCCTTAGAACTTGGACTCCCAGTCTAACAGTTCTCATCAGGAGTCAACATCGTCAGATCCAATAATCTCAACCCAGGGCCCTGGCTCCCCTGGGGATTCCCAGGCTAACTTTGCTGAATTCCTCTCCAGGATGATGAGATAGTTATAAATAGAGGTCCAGCATTGCATCGACTCGAACCAGGACAATAACTGTGATATTGTATGGATGGAGGACTCTTCCTCCATCGCCTTGCCCTTCATCACTATGCTGACGCAGGCGATGATGGACACATGGCAACTTCCCAACCAGCCACATCTAGGAGACTAGAATCCATGTACAAGATTCAGGACCAGGACATCCCATGCCTTCTTAAACATACCAAGCTGAATTCCATGGTCCATGACCAAGCGCTTGTTTGTTAAATACTCAGAGCACGACAAAGGAGCTCCAGTTAGCACTCAAAGACTTTCAAAATGGATCACCAAAACAATAGAATTGGTGTATCGTCTCTCCAAATTAGACCTGCCTGTTACTCCTAAGGCTCCTTCTACAAGGGCTGTTGCGGCCTCTTCTGCCTTTTCTGCCAGCATCTCTGTGCACGACATCTGCAAAGCAGCAAATGGTCAACTCCATGCACCTTTATGAGGCATTACCGCCTAGACGTCAGGGCCAGATAGGACTGTTCTTTTGGACATGCAGTCCTCTCCTCCGTTCTCCAGTGGCAACACCATCCCTCCTCCGGGTGTGGTAAGCTTACTAATCACTCATACTGTGTGATGCACAGAGGCCACGATGAAGTAAGACAGGTTGCTTACCTGTAACTGTCGTTCTTCAAGTGGCCATCTGTGCATTCACACAACCCGCCCG